GTGTGTGTGTGTGCATGTGTGTGTCTCTGTGTGTGTGTGTTCGCTCAAGGAAAATGAGCAATAGTGAAATGAGAGAAAACCAGAATGCAAAATCACATTGAAAGCCAGAAAGTCCAACGCTGTCCAAAAAGCACAAATGCACTGATATTTCACCGACGGAGAACTGAAGCACTGAATCCCAATGTCAATGAGAGCATACTCTCGCCACAACCAACATATGTATCCAGAGCCCTTCCTCCTACTTGGCGCTCAGCGCCTAGACTACGATCACACAGCTCCTACCAGCCTAAGAATTGACAATGCAACCTGTTGACACCAGCAGCAACAACCGAAGTACATGAAGGTCTCAACGCTGTACGTGCCCCCACATCATCATCCTCATCTGTCTCTCTCCCTGGTGTTCTCTACCCACGTCTTCCTCCCCATATACGAGGACCACCACCACCCCCGCTGGCTGTGTCCAAGCCAAGCCCTGGCTATGTAGGGCTGGCTATGGCGCTGCCCTCAGCAGTGTCCCACCTCTCGCACGACTGCACACGCGTGCACACTTTCCCCTAGCGCTAATCAGGCAGCCCACGAGCACATGCTCCAGCAGCACCGCCGCTCAACTACGCAAGTGCTCGAATAATCTCTCTCTGGCAAGCGCTTTCCTATATGGAAAGTGTTCGCCCAGTTTGTAGCTGGGCTCGGACGCGTGTGTGCCCTCGAGCTTCATGTTGGGTCAAAGTGTCTGCGCCCAGGCCCGTTCAGACAGTGGACTCTGGCAGAGTCAAGACAAGAAGACAGCCCCCAAAGACCGGCTAAAGGAATCAGGAGGAAGGGAGAAGGGAGGCATGATGAAGGATCGCCACCCGAGCCACAGCCTTATTCTGGAGTCTGAGACAAGAAACTGATACCCTGCCAAGGTCGCAGAGAAGGCTGGGTCTGAGAAGGGACTGAGAAGGGACTGAGAAGGGACTGAGAAGGGACTGAGAAGGATTGAGAAACATACGTGCCCTGGGGCCTGTGAGGCCGAACCAGGATCCAACTCAGGGCCGAAGAATCAAGAGGCCCTCACAAGACTCAGGGGAAAGAGTTCAGGAGGTTCGCGGTCTGACGGTAGAGCAACATCTTTTTTTTTTTTTTTTTTTTTTTTTTTTAAAGAAAAAAAAGAGAAAACAACCCAAGGGGATGCTAGGGAAGCTGGTAGGAGTAGACTCCTCTAGCATGCTCGGGGAGTCTCCATCTATTGGTGGGGAGCAACACCTCTGCTGGAAAACGGGTCCAGCGTCCCCGAAGCATCAAAATTCCATATTTCATATAAAGCATGCCACGTGTCCACCGTACTGTAACCATGAAAGATCAATACACTGGCACGTAAGCACAAAGCATGAGCCTAACAGCCACTCCGAAACCCTCAACGTACAACAACAGCGTGCAGCCCCATGAGAGGGAGGGACAATCAGAATAGGAAAACTAGTGCTAAAAAAACGAAGTCATACCTGCTTATCACCTACTCCGAAACTCTCAACGTGTAACAAGAGTGTGCAACCCCATGAGAGGGGGGGACAATCAGAGTAGGGAAACTAGCACCAAAAAACGAAGTCATGCATGCATGCCACGTGGCCATCCCAATAGGAATGCAAAATTCCAGCCGAGCAGCAACGCAGGCGCACATTTATAGCTGGTGAGCAGCTTCGAGCACCCTCAGTAGAAGGAATTGACTGCCCACCACATCATGAAATCATATCCCTGCTCCGAAATACTCATCAAACATGCTGCGCCATGAGCCGAGGGACATCCTAGGAAAAACAAAAAAGAGAGTAGCCACGGGGGAGTACCCAGGGGTTTTCAGAGGAATCTTAACACCAATCACCCCGTCCTCCAACCCCGTCCACATGGCAGTCAATCAGAATAGGAAAACTAGCACCAAAAAACGAAGTCATAATGCATGCCACGTGGCCATCCCAATAGGACTGCACAATTCCGGCCGAGCAGCAACGCAGGCGCACATTTATAGCCGGTGAGCAGCTTCGATCACCCTCAATAGAGGGGACCGACTGCCCACCACATCATGAAATTGCTCCGAAGCACTAATCTATCCAACTGCGCCATGAGAAACAGAGGCATTCAGAGCAGGTATCCTAAGAAAACTCGAAACAAAATGGGCACGTGGGAGGGCCCAGATTTTATGACAGTGGCAAACCGCAGCACCTCCTACACTGCCGCCACGTGGCAAAGCCTAGCGTATTACCACGTGGATACCAACAGGTATGGTAAGGTATTCCTAGTCTCTATCCTATCCCCTCACGCACCCCCCTCGCCCTGTCTCTTATACACATCTAGATGTGTATAAGAGACAGGGGAAGAAGGGGGGGGAGAGAAAGGAAACCCCGAACTCACTTACCCTCCCATTATTCTGGCGGCCACCATCATCCTCGTTTGCAGCCATCATGTTATCGTTGTTGTTGTTGTTGTTGTTGTTGTTGTTGTTGTTGTTGTTGTTGATGCCGGTGTCGGTGTTGTTGTTGTTGTTGCTGTTGTTGTCGTTGTTGTTGGTGGGAGCAACAGCAGCTCCGTTGTCAGTGTCGACAGTGTCGACGATATAAGGTTGATCGAAACAGTTATCACCCTCCGGACCCAGTGCTGCAGAGCGATCTTGCCCCTCCACAAAGCTCTCGTTCGAAGACGTTGGGAGTGGGGGAGCCGGCCCCCCATCAGTCTCCTCCCAAACTCCCAGTGCAGCAGAGCAACACCCATCCACTGGCAAATTTGCAACGGTGATCGCCGCCAGCTGTTGCGCCGTGATTTGTTGAAGGTCTTCCAATTGCACAAAACACTCTTGTAAAGCACTTGTCACCGGCTCCTCATGAAGAGTACCCGGCAATGAGGAAGTGATCTGTTGCAGCACGTCGCGCCATTCGAGGATGGTGTCGTCAACCTCATGCAGTATCAACAGCAGCAGTTTACCCTCGGCTTGCAGGACGACCTCGATTGCCTCGCATATCTGTTGTTTGTATATGCCAACCATGTCCGCCGGTGACACCATGTCCCCCCATAAAAGGGACGAGGCAGGGCCCGTTGATGCTGCAGGCTCCATCACGAACGGCCGTACGTCGCTCCGCGAGATTAAACTTTTCCACGCCACACACCGCGCTCACAACCCTAGTAACACCCCTCCCCCATCAGACACACCCTTCTCAACGGGCACTACGTTGAACGCCACGTGGCGCACACATGGTCCGATGTGAAGGCCACGTCAGCCTCGCTGACGCGTCGCGCAGAACATCTTAAAGATGTGCGACATTTTTGGATAGTAGTACCAGGAGTCGGCAGCTCTAAGACCCGACTGTTGGACTGTGCTGGACCCCCCTCCCCTCCCTCTGGTCACATTGTCTCTTCTTCTCTCGATATTTTGTAACAACAGATGGTTTCAGCAGCCACAGCATGACATGGCGTGAATGGGTCCGAAACTGCAGAACGTCTGCACGAGACCCCAACACAGAAACAGGAATGGTTTCTTGCTGAGTTGATTGGGGAGGCCTGCGTTCAAGCCCTGGAGCAACAGTCATGTGATCTAAAGGTTTACTATAACTCAACCCTGTTGCCAAATTAGATCGGCAGATAGGCAAGCAGCTAAGGCAAATTACAAAGTTCTACTTCCCTATTTGCTGGACTTAGAGGTTCCCAGCTGACTATATGTATCAGACAATGTATCAGGGGGGCTGCTGAAATAGGGCTGGGCTAATAGATAAGGTGGTGCTCAAAGATGGGTGGGAAGGGAGACACTAGGAGCTCCAAGGGAGAACGGAGCCCCGGGCAGAGACAACTGTCACCACAGCCCTTTTTTTTTTTTTTTTTTTTTTTTTTCAGAACCTTTGGGTTCTGGCTCCTGCCATTCTGGGGAGCGACAGTCCGGTTCCTATTCCCCTGGCAAGTCAAAGACGAATACAATAACCACACACACGCTCCTCCCCATTCCGGTTGAGAGGTCCTATCACCACAGCCCTAGGAAACAACAAACAGTAATATCTGTATTACAAGATGTATCAATGGGACGCTGGACCCGGTTTCCAGCAGGAGCCGCGCCCCACCAATAGATGGAGCAGCCCAACAGATGAATCCTCAATTCTGACGGTTCTCTTACCACTGCCAGGATAGAGGGATATCGCAAGGGCTATTCACAAAAAAAAAAAA